TTTATAGCTATACAAGCCTACATCAAGAAACAAGAAAAATCTCAAAGAAACACTCTAACGTTACACCTAAAGGAACTAGAGAAAGAAGAACAAACAAAACCCAAAGTTAGCAGAAGGAAAGAAATCATAAAGATCAGAGCAGAAATAAATGAAATAGAAACAAAGAAAACAATAGCAAAGATCAATAAAACTAAAAGCTGGTTCTTTGAGAAGATAAACAAAATTGATAAACCATTAGCCAGACTCATCAAGAAAAGAGGGAGAGGACTCAAATCAATAAAATTAGAAATGAAAAAGGAGAAGTTACAGCAGACACCTCAGAAATACAAAGTATCCTAAGAGACTACTACAAGCAACTCTATGCCAATAAAATGGACAACATGGAAAAAATGGACAAATTCTTAGAAAGGTATAACCTGCCAAGACTGAAACAGGAAGAAATAGAAAATATGAACAGACCAATCACAAGTAATGAAATTGAAACTGTGATTAACAATCTTCCAACAAACAAAAGTCCAGGACCAGATGGCTTCACAGGTGAATTCTATCAAACATTCAGAGAAGAGCTAACACCCATCCTTCTCAAACTATTCCAAAAAATTGCAGAGGAAGGAACACTCCCATACTCATTCCATGAGGCCACCATCACCCTGATACCAAAACCAGACAAAGATATTACTAAAAAAGAAAATTATAGACCAATATCACTGATGAATAGAGATGCAAAAATCCTCAACAAAATACTAGCAAACAGAATACAACAACACATTAAAAGGATCATACACCATGATCAAGTGGGATTTATCCCAGGGATGCAAGGATTCTTCAATATACGTAAATCATTCAATGTGATAACCCCTATTAACAAACTGAAGAATAAAAACCCTATGATCATCTCAATAGATGCAGAAAAAGCTTTTGACAAAATTCAACACCCATTTATGATAAAAACTCTCCAGAAAGTAGGCATAGAGGGAACCTACCTTAACAGAATAAAGGCCCTATACGACAAACCCACAGCAAACATCATTCTCAATGGTGAAAAGCTGAAAGCATTTCCTCTAAGATCAGGAACAAGACAAGGACGTCCACCCTCACCACTATTATTCAACATAGTTTTGGAAGTCCTAGCCATGGCAATCAGAGAAGAGAAAGAAATAAAAGGAATACATACTGGAAAAGAAAAAGTAAAACTGTCACTGTTTGCAGATGACATGATACTATACATAGATAATCCTAAAGATGCCACCAGAAAACTACTAGAGCTAATCAATGAATTTGGTAAAGTTGCAGGATACAAAATTAATGTACAGAAATCTCTTGCATTCCTATACACTAATGATGAAAAATCTGAAAGAGAAATTAAGGAAACATTCCCATTTACCACTGCAACAAAAAGAATAAAATACCTAGGAATAAACCTACCTAGGGAGACAAAAGACCTGTATGCAGAAAACTATAAGACACTGATGAGAGAAATTAAAGATGATGCCAACAGATGGAGAGCTATACCATGTTCTTGGATTGGAAGAATCAATACTGTGAAAATGACTATACTACCCAAAGCAATCTACAGATTCAATGCAACCCCTATCAAATTACCAATGGCATTTTTTATGGAACTAGAACAAAAAAATCTTAAAATTTGTATGGAGACACAAAAGACCCCAAATAGCCAAAGCAGTCTTGAGGGAAAAAAACAGTGCTGGAGGAATGAGACTCCCTGACTTCAGACTATACTACAAAGCTACAGTAATCAAGACAATATGGTACTCGCACAAAAACAGAAACATAGATCAATGGAACAAGATAGAAAACCCAGAGATAAACCCACGCACCTATGGTCAACTGATCTATGACAAAGGAGGCAAAGATGTGCAATGGAAAAAAGAGAGTCTCTTCAATAAATGGTGCTGGGAAAACTGGACAGCTACGTGTAAAAGTATGAAATTAGAACACTCCCTAACACCATACACAAAAATAAACTCAAAATGGATTAGAGATCTAAATGTAAGACTGGTCACTATAAAACTCTTAAGAGGAAAACATAGGAAGAATACTCTTTGACATAAATCACAGCAAGATCTGTTTTGATCCACCTCCTAATGGAAATAAAAACAAAAATAAACAAATGGGACCTAATGAAACTTCAAAGCTTTTGCACAGCAAAGGAAAACATAAACAAGACGAAAAGACAACACTCAGAATGGGAGAAAATACTTGCAGACAAATCAATGGACAAAGGATTAATCTCCAAAATATATAAACAGCTCATGCAGCTCAATATTAAAAAAACAAACAACCCAATCCAAAAATGGACAGAAGACGACCTAAACAGACATTTCTCCAAAGACATACAGATGGCCAAGAAGCACATGAAAGGCTGCTCAGCATCACTAATCATTAGAGAAATGCAAATCAAAACTACAATGAGGTATCACCTCACACCAGTTAGAATGGGCATCATCAGAAAATCTACAAACAACGAACGCTGGAGAGGCTGTGGAGAAAAGGGGACCCTCCTGTACTGTTGGTGGGAATGTGAATTGATACAGCCACTATGGAGAACAGTATGGAGGTTCCTTAAAAAACTAAAAATAGAATTACCATATGATCAAGCAATCCCACTACTGTGCATATACCCAGAGAAAACCATAATTCAAAAAGACACATGGGGCTTCCCTGGTGGCGCAGTGGTTGAGAGTCCACTTGCCGATGCAGGGGACACAGGTTCGTACCCCGGTCCAGGAAGATCCCACATGCCGCAGAGCGGCTGGGCCTGTGAGCCATGGCCGTGAGAGGCCCGCGTACCGCAAAAAAAAAAAAAAAAAAAAGACACATGATGCACCCCAATGTTCACTGCAGCACTATTTACAATAGCCAGGTCATGGAAGCAACCTAAATGCCTGTCGACAGAAGAATGGATAAAGATGTGGTACAAATATATAATGGAATATTACTCAGCCATAAATGGGAATGAAACTGGGTCATTTGTAGAGACATGGATGGATCTAGAGACTGTCATACAGAGTGAAGTAAGTCAGAAAGAGAAAAACAAATATTGTATATTAACGCATATATATGGAAACTAGAAAAATGGTACAGATGAACTGGTTTGCAGGGCAGAAACTGAGACACAGACGTAGAGAACAAATGTATGGACACCAAGGGGGGATAGCGGTGGTGTGATTAATTGGGCGATTGGGACTGACATGTATACACTGATGTGTATAAAAGTGATGACTAATAAGGACCTGCTGTATAAAAAATAAAATTCAAAAATTAAAATAAAGAAATAAATAAAATAAAATAGAAAAAAAATATATCATCCCTCACTCAACTCCTTGCTTTACTACTCAAAGGGCCTAAAATGTAAGGAAGGCTGTATGTCATTCTTCACTAATTACACAGTTTTACTGTATCTCGGTCTAGAATAATCCAGGCCAACTGAACACAGGAAAGAGCACAGGACTCAATCCAAAGTCTCATCTTTCTATTTGTTAACTGTGTGACCACAGGCAATTCTGTGGGCTTAGCTCAGCCTCAGTTTCCCCATCCACCTACCTCCTGCATCCCCCTGAGGATTAAAAGCAGTAACATATGTAATATACCCGACTACTGGGTCAAACACAGAAACCACTCAGGTCAAAGCCCTTTTCCTTTAGGAAAAATAATGACTGCAGAAATATTCAACCCTGTCAAATTTCTGCTAGGATGGACTGTAACACTGCCAGGAGAACAGTCTAGGCTGTTACATGGAACTTTTCCCATGCTTACGGTGCAGGACTATAGGGCTTCAACTGAGAACTCATCAAGCATTTGAACAGATGTGTACTGTTGCTTAAGAGGAGTCCAGCCCTGCCAGCAGGCATCCACCTCCCTGTTCCTTCCTTGCAACAAGAACACCAGGCAGGCCCTTCAGCTTTCAGAAGAGAACATAATCTTTGTCATCCTCATATCTCATGCTTTGCACATGGATCCTCTTTCAACCAAGAATTAAGAATTACCACCCTTTAGGTATTAGCTAGCATCTAACACTGGCCATTTTCCACACAGCTCCTTCAAGAAAATGGAAAGCCCAAGTGATAAGTGAACTGTGTGTTTCTAACTATTCTTCTAGCTGCATCCCTGCACCATCGAATCAGACCAAACTACCTAATGGACCACTTCTATTGCAGCTCCCCACCTCCTGTAGATTTATCTTTATGAAGTCCATCTTAACATCATGCTCTCTGTTTTTCATGTGGGTTGACACACAAGTTTGTGTCAAGCTTTTTTTTGCAGGTAAAATGCCTACCAATGTCAAGTAAATCTGCCACCTTATCTTTCAGTAGCCTTTATTTAATGAGCTCATGTGAAGGTTGCTTCAAGCTTAAGGAGAAAAACATGTCTCTAAATTAAGCTATAGTCTTCTATTAGAACAAAAGTGATATAACCATATAATTTTTGTCTTTGTCTTGGAATCCAAGCGTCTTCTTGGTAGGTTTGGGTTCAGATGCAGATTTCATCAACATCTGATCCCACTGTTCTTGCTCTCCCATATACCTGTTTCCTGGCTTTGAGTTGTTTTCTCTCTAAGTGTACCCATATATACTTCTATAGCCTACTTTCCAGTTCTACTTTGTGAGGTGATTTAGTCTTGGGGTGCTTAAGAAACACAAATTATACTCTGGTGCTAAAACAGCTGAACATAAGCTAAAACTGACATCTACCAAAAAAATTTAGTTTTTATGAACAAGAGTGTCCCAAGTCTTTCATGGAAACGCAATGGTTTCCTATTGCAAATATTCTGCAACTGAATATTGGACAAAGTAAGAATGTAAAGTGGAAACATCAATTTTCCTAAGGAGGAAAGGAAAGGGCAGGGGCAATCAAGTATGAGTTTCAGGACAACATACAATTCTCCCTAATCAATCAACCTGCCATTTCCTACATCGTGTGACTGGTAAGCAACCACACGAAGTTTGGAGATTACATTAACTGTCCTCACTGGGTCTTACCCGTAACCGATAGTCATCCACAGTCCAGATGCGGCTTGCGAAATCATTTGACGCTGCTAAGAGGTAAGATCCCTACAGGAATAAAGGGGAGGAGAAGAAATGTTAGCCAAAACAGAAGAACTCAGTTCACATGATACAAATTCCCCGATGATCAAGTCCAAGGTTTAGATGCCTATAACTATACACCTGAGCCGAATACCGCTATAACCAGTATTCTGTTAATTTATCAATCCCCCTTAAGTTCAGACCTTTCTCCCGAGCCTGCTCAACCTCACCTGTAGGCTGTAGATACCTCCAGCTCAAAATGGAATTCCTCCTCCTGTGTTCACTCCTCACCACCTCCCACCTTCAGTAACAGCAAGTACTAATTCTCTGCACCTGTCCAAGTCCAAGAGCTCAGAACCACCGACTCTCCCCAGCCACACCTCCCAACTGCCCCCGTTGTAGACCTGCTTGTCTCTGGCGCTTCTCGCTAGACCCTCTCCTCTCCACCTGCACTGCCTTGGCCCAAACCGGGGGCCTTTATCAAGTCTGGCGACTGCCTTGCTGGAGTATCCCAGACCTGTCTCCCCTACCCAGTCTTCAACACGGTCGTGATCAGCACAGAATTTATAATCTACCTACATCCTTCTCTAACATTAAGACAGAAAATAGCAGAGAAACCAGATAAGTTTTTAAATTTCAAGAACCAGATGTTTCCAATTGTTTCTAAAAACCTCTAAACTCACCCATTTCCATGGATATTAGATACTTACAGCACTATCAAATTCAATGCTTGTAATTCCTGCATTACTGCCGGATAGGGAACCCTTGAACTCACATTTGTCTGCATAAAAACAAAGATTAAGAAAGGAAGGTAAAAAAAAAAAAAGATGGCAAATCCAACGTATCAATTAAAATGAGGCACTTGAAACACAATGGAAGCCAATTACATGGTCAAAAACAGCTTTCCTGCATCTTTACAGAATCAAGTAGGAGGACAAATGGAATAATGAGACCAAAATATCTGGCTGGTCAGTTCCAAGAGCAATGAATGTACAAGTGGGTGCAGAGCCCAGCATTTTCCTGTGGGTTCTTACGCTGTTCTTTTCAAGAAATTCAGTGTCATCAATTTCCTTTACAGAAGATAAGTGCAGGAATTTAAAACCATGTCAGTTGACCCTAGAGACCGAGTTTGTTATTTCTCAGTAAAATTTTCTACTTTCCATAAATACATCTTTGGGTTTGATCAATATTTGCCGACTTAACTATCACTTTAGTAGAACCTGACCATTAGAATTTCAGAACCCAAGTACGAAAAGAAATTCCTACTTACATAAACTGGCTGGTCCTCAGAATTCCACTAAAGCTAGTTTGGACTTTCGGTCATCTCTCTGTTCACTCTATATACGTGAGCCTAAGGTTCTGGCAATCCAATCGCCTGCCAGTGCTCCCCCCTCCTGCTGCTGACTCTCTTCCACCAAGAGGCCAGTCCGTATACCCCCCCCACCCCCCCACCCCGCTCTGTTTTCAAACAGCTTTGGCCACCCACAACGAAACTTTAAAGATGAGTGTGAGTCTCAATGATGATGTGATTCAGTTTCCTTTTTAAAGGGTATTTTTTTTTTCCTCTAAGAGTTTTATTTATTTTTTTACATCTTCATTGGAGTATAATTGCTTTACTATGGTGTGTTAGTTTCTGCTTTATAACAAAGTGAATCAGTTATACATATACATATGTTCCCATATCTCTTCCCTCTTGTGTCTCCCTCCCTCCCACCCTCCCTATCCCACCCCTCCAGGCGGTCACAAAGCACCGAGCTGATCGCCCTGTGCTATGCGGCTGCTTCCCACTAGCTATCTACCTTACGTTTGGTAGTGTATATATGTCCATGCCTCTCTCTCACTTTGTCACAGCTTACCCTTCTCCCTCCCCATATCCTCAAGTCCATTCTCTAGTAGGTCTGTGTCTTTATTCCTGTCTTACCCCTAAGTTCTTCACGACATTATTTTTTTCTTAAATTCCATATATATGTGTTAGCATACGGTATTGGTCTTTCTATTTCTGACTTACTTCACTCTGTATGACAGACTCTAGGTCCATCCCCCTCATTACAAGTAGCTCAATTTCGTTTCTTTTTATGGCTGAGTAATATTCCATTGTATATATGTACCACATCTTTATTCACTCATCCGATGATGGACACTTAGGTTGTTTCCATCTCCTGGCTATTGTAAATAGAGCTGCAATGAACATTTTGGTACATGACTCTTTTAAAGGATATCTTAAGGATAACCTATATAGATAAGCCAGGAAAACAATTAGGGAATCATTCAAATCAAACTCATAAAATAGGAGCACAGAATAGTATACATTTCAATTAACAGCCTTTTCTCTTACGACTTCTAGATGCTAATAATAATGATATAAATACTGGTTTGGGGACTTCCCTGGTGGTCCAGTGGTTAACACTCCACGCTCCCAATGCAGGGGCCCGGGTTTGATCCCTGGTCAGGGAACTAGATCCCTCATGCCGCAGCTAAGAGTTCGCATGCCACAGCGAAGATTCCATGTACCACAACCAAGACCCAGCTCAGCCAAACAAACAAACAAACTTATATATATATATAAAATACTGGTTTGGAGCTGTCAGATACATTTAGGGCCAGGACTATTAACCTGGTGGATGAACCCCTGAATTAATTTGCAAAATATGGCACATTTAATGCCTTTCCCTGGATCCTAGTTTTCATTAGATTTTCACAAGTCAAAAAAAGGCCAACACCTAATTTAGGACTTTATTTAGATTAGATCTTTATAGACAAAAATATTACTGCAAATTCTAAAAGATATCTCTTTGGCTTATGCCTAAAACACTGGTCTATTTGTTTGGCAGGTGACAAAGTGCCAAAATGTAAGAAATGATCAGTAAGTGCTAGTCTACACAAGAGATTGATCTGAGAAGACCGAAGATCTTATTCAAATCTCTTTTATTTAGAAGGCACTAGGGAGACTATGTCATGAGTACTTATATAATTCCCAGCAGAGCTGCTGCTTTTGACAGAATAAGCAAAGACAGGTAGGTGTTCCTACTGGACGCAAAGTGGTGGAAGGGTAGAAAAGAGGACCCCCGAACTACTTTATAAGAGGCCTCTTGCACTTGGTCTCTTCCAAGACTCAGTAAATATCAGCCAAGGGGGAAAAATTATAGGCCAGGTAAGCCATTTGTGAAGGAAAGATCCTGTAATTAGTTAGGACACGACTGATATTTGTTCCTGAAAACTATAAAAAATGCTGCCAGACACTATGTTATTTCTGCAGACCTAGTAGAAATTTTTCATTTTATTAACACAGATTATGTCAGCATTAATTTTGGTTAGTGTTTACTTCCTCTTTAGCAGCAAAAAAGTAACACTATTACTAATCCCTGGTATCTTTAATTTTCTTATAGGTGTTTTTACTGACCAAGGAGTAAAACAAAAGTATTTCTAGTGCTGTCTGTATTTAATTGCAAGGCATAATCAAAAGACTATCTGTGTAGATTTTTATCACAAAATCTGTATTCTTTTTTAAAAATTAATTAATTAGTTAATTTTTGGCTGCATTGGGTCTTCGCTGCTGCATGTGGGCCTTCTCTAGCTCTGGCGAGCAGGCGCTACTCTTCGTTGCGGTGCGCAGGCTTCTCATTGCGGTAGCTCCTCTTGACGCGGAGCACGGGCTCTAGGCGCAGAGGCTCAGTAGTTGTGGTGCACGGTCTTAGTTGCTCCGCAGTGTGTGGGATCTTCCTGGACCAGGGCTTGAACCCGTGTCCCTGGCATTGGCAGGCAGACTCTTAACCACTGTGCCACCAGGGAAGCCCAAAATTTCTATTCTTATGATATGGTTTTATTATTGTTTTGTAAGTTTCAGCAATTACCATTCATAAGGTGTTTCTGGGTAAAACACAAATTTTGATGGGTTTCAAATAGCTCTAACTGCCAGGGATTTAAGTACTGAGTCATTTTCATGAAAATCAAAGGCCAGGGTAGACAAATTGGATGCTTTATATGACAACGTGTTCCAGCAAAGGGATCAGTAGATTGCTCTCGCTCTAAATACATCAGCAGTAGTAACACAGGGACTTCCCTGTGAAGCCCGTGCTCTGCAACAAGAGAAGCCACCGCAATGACAAGCCCGCACACCGCAACAAAGAGTAGCCCCCGCTCTCCACAACTAGAGAAAGCCCGTGCGCAGCAGCGAAGACCCAAAGCAGCCAAAAATCAATCAATCAATCAATTTATATATATAAAAAAGTAGTAGTAACACACATGCTTCTTCAGCAGGTCTATAGCTCAGAGGAGGCTGTTTTGGAAAAAGCAAGGCATCTACAGTCTTAACACTCAAGCTCAGGTCCCAGGTTCAACGACTCCCTGTCCACATAAATCAACCATGTAAATCAAGTACTGTCTCTGAGTTTTCATCTGTCAAACAGGGGTGATACCCACCTAACGGCACAGGGCTATTGTGAGGATCAGAGGAAATAAAGTAGAGAAAGGTATGATGGTGCTATTTATTGTTGGGAGAGTGAGCATGTATGTGCTGCAAGTATGGAAACCGGACAAAGTGGTTCCTATAAAACCCTTCAGTCTATTCTTTGACCTTGCCTTACTATTATTATTTTTTGGCTGTGCTGTGGGATCTTGGTTCCCTGACCAGGGAATGAACTCGGGCCCTTGGCAGTGAAAGCCAGGAGTCCTAACCCCTGGACTTCCAGGGGAATTCCCTGACCTTGCCTTACTAAATATACATGTATATTTAACTGAATATCAAAATGTTGAAAGTGGGCTATGCCCATGTTCAGAATTCTGGGAGAGGATTTCACTAACTCTCATTTCCTGTTTTAATGTCATCCCATTTTGAGTACTCTGAGGTCATTCCTGAAACAATGTCTAATCAAAGAGACTTCAATCTTGATTTTAGAATCCTTGTCCAATAACCTATTTGTAAAATACATTTTCCTAGATGATACACCCCTCTGTTTATTCTCAAGCTCAGATATGATGTCAGTCATTTTTTGCTAGGCTATGGCCAGTGGCATTATTAAATGCATAAACCACAGCTGGATGTGTAATTTAATTGTAGAGCCATGACTATAACATTTTTTATTTTCCTTCTAAAACCTGTACTATCTTGGAAGATCCCCTGGTCAGTACGTATTTGAGAAAACACAAACACTAACGTATCTGTAACTCAACAGCATTCTCTAGTCTACTTGGAAACCCAGAGCAAACATCTACTTGGCTGTATCAGCTGTAAAGGATAACTGAGAGGGTAATAATGCTTTGGTCAGATGACTCCTCACACAAAATACTGTATGTTTCAAGAAGATGAACAATTCAAAGACTGCGTGAAAGCAAGGCCAACCAGATGTCACCAACACAGCTTCTTTCTGTTTCTCACTCCAGCGAGATCTCACCTCCGAACACTTCCCAGAGCTTCACCCTCCGATCCATGCCTCCCGTGGCCAGGAGCCGGGAACCCGGGCTGAACTGCACAGCATTGACCTCCCCATCATGAGCGTCCTGCAAGACAAGTGCCCTGTTTCAAACCCAACCCCTGTCATTCTCAAGAAGAAAGGGCCCAATACTGATGAACACTCTGGACCCCTAACCAAAGGTTAAACACCTGTCATTAAAGAGGGGACCCAATCACAAACTTGGGTTCCTAGCCCAGGGTCTCCTGATTCTATTATCATTAAATTCTTATAGTTACAGTTCTTTTGTTTTAAACGCAGTGCAACCTTCTTAAAAAGCATTCAAAATCTGTGTAAACTAATTGCCTAAAGTTTGTCTTTGCATTAATTTTCCTTCTTCTAAGAATAATGTAATTTCAATCTATACTGTACTATGATCTTAAGAGCTTAAAAGTAAGCCTATGGTTAACTGCCTCTTCTGGCCCAGACTGCACTAATACCACATGTTAAACTACGTATCAAATTAAGGTATAGCATGGCTTCTCGTGACTTTAAAAAAAGAAGGCTTTTCTTTTTTTAAAAAGTCTTTCTTTTGGTCTCCCTAATACGAATACATCCTGATATGAGTAGATGCCGGTCCTACTGCCACCCATCAGTGTTAGAGTAGAATCCCAGGTAGTTCTTTCCGGAAACAACACGGCACTACGTGTACTAGCAGTGAGGCCTCCGCCAAGTTCCTTCACTTCCCAAAGCCTCAGTTTTCTCATCTATGAAAATGGACTTCTGCAGGTTTTGTGAGCTAGGAATGTGCCCGACCACGACTCAGCCTTTGACAAAAGGAGCAGGTGTTATTTTGGCAGAACCTACATTCTTCACAGGGAGATGTCTGAGAATGGCATCCACGTTGGAACACATGATCTGAAAAGGTGGTGGCATTTGTGTTCAAGATGAGAAAGGAAACCAAATAAAAAGCACCCCATCCCAGAATGGGAAGAGGGAACACCAGACATGACTATAACCTCCTCTCTTAGGAGACCTGGATACTGAAATATTTATGAATGAAATACTATGAGATTTGCTTTAAGTTGCTCCAGCAAAAGTGTGGGCGTGGGGTGGGGGGCAAATAAGATTGGCAAACGTGACTGACTGAAGCCGCCTGACAGGAGGATGTCTGGGAAGTTCTCTTACTCTCTACTTCTGCTTATATTTGAAAATTTCCATAATCAAAAGCCAGGGGAGGGGGACCCTGCAATACATGAATTATAAATACTAGATCCTTAAACCTGTCATCAATCACTTGCCTAAAAGGTCATTTTGGGAATACAAAATCTGATCTTCCCATTTGCTTGGGACTGAAAAAAGTGCCTGAAGTATTGAGAATGTGACTCATGGACTGGAATATAAACATGATTTATTATTCCTTTGCTTCATCTGCTTTCTCTCCACCCTCTCGTGTCCCAGTGCTGAAAAGCTGTCTGACAGGGGATCAAACTTTTTACCTCCACACAATTCCGTTTTCTTTGTAATGATACCTTTCTACTTCAGAGGTCTCAGATTGAAAACTTGAGATCACGCACCATCACAACCATGGCTGCCTCTCATCAATCTCCTGTGCGGCCGGTTCTGTTGGACGCTTGTCAGCTGTGCACTGCTCACTCTCAGAGACACACACTGACAGAATCCCCAATTATCAGCTGCTCCATTGCCCCATACACATGACTTAAATGTGACAGGAGGGAAAAAATGGGCTGCTGGGAGTTGAGGGCAGGGAAGGCAATGTGACGTTAAGTGCAATCAGACCTTTTACCAATCATCATTGACCTCCGAGGTGCCCAGGCCTGTTAGAGAATCACAGGAGTGGAGTGGGAAGGGGCTTTAATGGTCCCCCGTCCAACTCTTCACCCACAGCAGGACTCTCTTTACAACGACCGAGGTGGCTAATCGCTCAGCCAGTTCACCGTATGGAAATAACTATTAAAGTTCCTCTTTATGCCCGGAACTGAAAGCTCCCCCCATATAAACTCCATCCCATTGTTTTTGGGGTTTTCTTTGCGGTACGGGGGCCTCTCACTGTTGTGGCCTCTCCTGCTGTGGAGCACAGGCTCCGGACGCGCAGGCTCAGCGGCCATGGCTCACGGGCCCAGCTGCTCCGCGGCATGTGGGATCCTCCCGGACCAGGGCACAAACCTGCGTCCCCTGCATCGGCAGGCGGACTCTCAACCACTGCGCCACCAGGGAAGCCCCATCCCATTTTTACAGCGAGCCTCTCTCTCCCCGAACGTCAGCTTCTCCAACTCACCCCTCGCAACACAAGAGTTAACCCAACTATCTGGGCTTTGCTCTATTCTTCCATCCCCCACCCCATTTGCTAGCCCTGAGCCAGGGACTCTACAATCCCCCAGGCCGGTTGCATGTCCGCTCAATTACCCCAGCCAGGATCCAGATTATTCTTTAGTACTAGGACCCAGCTCCACACTCCAGCTGACAGCCGTGGTATCACAGTGGCTTCTGCCCAGGAGTATCTCCGGCTTCCAACTATGTGCTCCTAATGGTCAGAAGTCACATGGACCTGAGTATAATTTGTGAAGCCAAGAGCTGCTCTACTGACCTTCCAAAACAGACCACTGACTAGAAACTCTAAATTGGAGCCAACTGGTGACAACAGTTGCATGAATTATTCTCTAATTCCTCACCATACCAAATTAGCTCTCCCCTTGCCCCACCCCCTCATGCTACCCATCCTCTCAGCCAGTCCTACATTAGAGGGTGGCTGCAAATAAATTCTGTTCTCTGAAGAGCGGCAAAATACACTAATTTTACTTACCTTATCAAAGCAATTTTGCTTTGCTTATCAAAATATAATCAATCCTTTCTATCAGACAGCCAACAGGTTGTCTGATAGAAAGTTCCATATGAATAAAACAATAATAGAAAGCTTAGCTGCAGCAGGAGAAAGGGTCTTTTGTCAGGCTCTGTTTCTTCATGAAGCTTGGTGGGCTGTGGGGATAAATCATACTTACGAAGACACACATTGCAGTCGTTGGCACCCTCACTTCTCTACTAGAGCCAGGATGAGTATCCACGTTATCCTGGGGAACTGGAAAGGAAGACACAGAGCGCCTCCTAAGAAGTAACATAAAGGAAAACATCAGGATGGCACAGGCTTACTGTCCACCAAACTCTCAGAAGGGATTCAAAGACATCTTTTATCAATGGCTTCCTTCCCCTTCTAGACCCTCCAAATCACAGAACGATTCCCCACATCAGAAGCAACCTCACTCAGTGACAACTGGAAAGACAGCCAGCACTTACCTGTACTCTCCTTTTCGCTAACTCATGGACTCCAAAACAACACTGAAAAGCAATCCTGAACAACTGCTGCCCCCGTCAATAAACAGCTACAAATGTTCTCAACTTAATGTAACCGCTAGCTCAGAGGGAGCTCGTTGGTATTTTCGTAAAACTATTTTAAGATGATTCCTATGCCTGGTTACAATCATCCTCAGCGTACACTTGTGGTCAAGGTGGAGCTGAACACATGCCAAAAGAAAGAGCGACCAGGCCTTGATTACTGTACAGAGCTCAGCCTATTGGCCCGTCTCAGAGGGCTGACAGCATTCCTAGGAGCATGCAAAGCGTCCTGGTTATTAGCACATGTACACGTGATGATTGGTATAGTGAAGCAGTGATCAGCATAATTATCAACGACCCACACTTGCATGCTGGGCTAAGAGAGGATAATATTTTCACCTGGCAGCATCAGAAGAGTGATGTCCCAAAAGGGGAGACTCGGACAGACTAAAGGGTAAGGCCAGAGACCAGCGCGCAGCGAGATTAAGAAAAAGGAAGTTGAGGAAAAAAGGAAGAAGCTAAATGAAAAGCTGAAATTAAGGCACCTGTATTCTCTGCACTGAAGTTCTGGCGCACGTTTAAAAAACGACAACAAATCATGTACATGTACTCAGGTATATTTATACACATATTAACAAGGAAAGGTGAAGGTTTTCTAACCTACCCAAAGATATTAGTGATAGAATCCAGAAGGCCTCCAGCAGGCTGCGAGAGTCGCTTACTAAAGAGGAGGGGAGGATAGGTTTAAACCTTAGAAACATTTTGCCCAAATAATCAGTCAAAAACAGTCCACAAAAGTACCTGGGAGTGTGCTTCCCAATGAGTTCCCAAACCCCAGCCGAGAACCCCTCACAGTACTGAACCACCAGAAAGCACTGGGAAGGTAGGAGGGAAAACCCAGCCTTGAAGTTTCAAAAGAAATACGGTTCCCTAGCACTAAATTAACTTCCCTGGAAATAATGCTTCAGACGATGAACTGTCTAAGTGACCTAACAACAACTTCTAGTGGTTAATGACCAATCTCATTCTTTTCATCCTGTTTTGGCAAATTAAAAAAAGAAAAGAAAAAAAATCCTGGAGCCCTAGTAAGAATTGAGCAGTATGATCTAAACAATCACCCTGCCTAACAAGGTCCATCTTTCAGAAAGCCACTACACTTTTTCTGCTTCTCTTCACAGCTGGTGGTGGCACTAAGGGATGGCTAGCCTCCTATTAAGAAGAGGTGACCCAAGAAAGACGGAGACACCCTGGAGCCCGCGAGCCCCATGGCTGAGCGAGCGGGGCTGCACGTTCCAGCTGGGGGCGCCGCACTGTTCCCTGGCCCCGCCCACAAGCATGCTGCCGGGCTGCTGCTCGAGCTCTCCGACCCTGGCACAGCCCGTCTACTCACGCAGCTGCTCTGCTGACGGCCCGCACCGGAGAGGCCTCCTCAGCGTGATCGGAGGTTTCATCCACAAGGACTTCAATGTCATCATCCCTGGAAAGAAAGGCAAGAGGCTGAGTCTTTGATGCTGCTGAACAGGAGCTTTGTGATGAGTCTGTTCTACAAAGGCCGACACCAACACCATTTCCTAATCACACATGGCCTGTGTGACTTGGCTGTGACAGAGGCAGTCAAGGCTTCTCTGGAGAAAAAGGAGCTGCCATCTGAGCAATAGTGAAGAAACAATCTGTTCAAGTCAAATCCAGAATTCCAACTGAAAATAACTTTAGAAATGAGCTTTTGCTCTTTTTATGTCTAAACACAGTGCCCACTTGGAAAGCAATGACATAATGGCTTATTAAGCCTATAATCACATAACCAGCACTAAAGTGGATTTTTCTCATCAGAAGTCTGGTTTGTAGCTAAAGGGCTCCCGCATGCCAACTGGACTGCAGCACTCACTAAGAAACAGTTCCCATGAGAGGGGCTGAATAACATAGAGGATAGCTAGGGGCAGCTATGGTGCACAAGAAAATGCCAGGATAGGGAGAAGATCCAAGTCAATAAGGAAATGGACTGCTGAAAGGGCAATGAAGTCAACGGGTACCTAAACAACCCAGTTCTAAATATTACTGTAATAGTAAAAGACAGGAAAGCAAAATCTAAACATAATTCATTTTTGATTCTGGATATTTGAGGCTTATGTTTAAGCATAACTCTGGGTATTTGCTGTTTCTGACATTTTAGAGAGTCCATTATATTACACATGAGATAATCAAGTCACAGGACCATGCTCCTTTGCTGGTGTTTATCCCACCGGATGCAAAGCTCCTCTGGAATTCCCCTTCCTCCCCGTTTTCCTGGTTGCGGGGAAGGCAAGTTAATTATTTTGGTCTTAATGACCTCCTACCGAGTTGCGATCTTCATGGAGAAGTAAAATAATAAAATCTAACCCAAGACTTTATTACCAAATGTTTGGATTCATAAGAACTTGAGAGATTTTTCCATGATTAATTATCTGGATTATGTAAATATATACTTCAGAGCTTGTTACCAAGCAACTTAAACCAAGTTCAGGTAAATTTATTTTCCTTGGCTATTGATTCTAGGGTCCCGTGTAACTGAACCCAGACTTGGCCAGGATTAGAGGAGGACGAAGGCGGGCCTGAAGACAGAGAACAGGCTGGGCTTTCTTCTCTTCTCAGCTGTGGTCTGCGGGTCACGTGTGTCCGCACAAGGGTAACAACAGAACAGCAGACATGGCAAGAGTAACAAACGTGAGCTGAGCCTATGTAAAATGGTTTGTTTAAGATAGAGTTGTATAGTTATAAAGGTACCTGGAACAGTGCAAAGGCCCAGGACCACGAGAAAATACCAGCATCTGGTAACGCGTTATCAAAACCTTTCAGAGGTCCTTTCACCTAGAAACTCTACTTGTAGGAAAGAACAGAGATTAAGAACAGGCCTTTACAGTCAGACACCCTTAGGTTTCCACCCTGTCTCTGCCATTTCCTTTGTGATTTGAGGCAAGATGCTGGACCTTTCTACACCTAGTCACCTGTTTATGCTGGCCAATAAGAGGCAGACAAATGATGCTTTTATAAGCTGTTATTTTTAAGGAACCAAATCTCATTTCCAGGTCAACTATTTCGCTACTTTGTAGCTTTGGGCAAATACACCCGAGATTCATTTTCTACATGTGAAGAGTATAGAAATTATGCACATATGCTACATCTAAAGCAAAGGCTTGGTATGACATTTGTTTTCTTATAAATCAAGACCTTTGTCTGGCAGATGACTCCTGAGTGAATTTAAACCACTCCCCTCCATTTATAAGGAAGCAAGCAACATTTAAAACAATAGAAGATCATAACTCTAATACTACATTCCAGAATCTATTTCAACGAGGGAGAAGACCCCACATCCTGAACCAGAGCAAAGGGAATTTTAGTCACTAAAATACCCACTGCTCTGAAAACATAGCTTCAAATCTCAGGGAAGACCCTCCACCCAATTCCAGATTAGGAAAAACTCCATATTGACTCAATTGCTTTTGTTCCAGGAAATCCCAGTTTTTACTTAGGCTTCAAAGGTTTGCCCAAGCTCCACTTGAAGCCACAAACCAAGAAGAGAGCAAGAGACAGAACCCCAGCCCAGCATCACACTGCAACAGCTCCAACCAAAGGCAGAAAACAGGTCGGTCTCAACAGGAAAACAGCAAGGCTGTCACTGGTTAAGGGTGGAGGAAGTCAGAATTCACACTCACAGCTAATGAGTATAAACTGGAACAACCTTCTGGAAGGTAATGGGTGGTTTTTATTTGCTGCCCTAAGTCTTTTAGTTTTCCTTCTACATTTTGTAAAATGGTTTTATAGAAACAGAATATTATGAGGCTATTTCAAAACAGCAAATCAAATTACTACGAGCATAGTTTTGATTTGCACATCTCTACTCACTGCTCAGCTGGGAGAGGTTCCTTTGCTGCTTCTGCGAGCTCCTTCTGCAGCCGGGCTTGCCGCCTCCTATTAAAAAAAAAAAAAAAAAGCCCACTATTTATGTCTACTTAAAGAAAGCATGGCGTTTGGGGTCTCAAAAAACTACTAGTAACACATTTGAATATTCAATGCACTTAAAGTAACAACTACCCTGGACAAAGATACCCAAAGTCCCAAATCCACAACTGTAACTTCAGCAAGGATCCTATTATAATGGATTTCAGAGCAAAGCCCTAGAAGGGATTAGGGAGAGCAGTGAACCAGCAAGGGAGAAGCCTGCCTGTGGGGACCCAGGGCCTCTCAGGACAGAAACATGCATCAGGTTTATCCAGGAGACTTAGTTTTCTGAAGTAAACAGTCTCACACTAACATATCAAGAGCATGAATAATAATAAAAATTTACTTGTACCTGGCATGGTTTTATTATTTTACAGAATTTAACTCATTTAACACTTATAACAAACTTTTTGAGGTTAAGTACTGTGATTCCCATTTTATAGACGAGGAAACTGAGGTATAGTGAGATTCTTGAGTCATCAAAATGTACAAGGCTTCAGTTTACTAGGGCTGGACATGCAAGTCCTGGCTGCAGCAAAATTTTAATGTGGTCAGCAGTCACTTCCACTCTCTCCCCTCTCAGAACCATTTTTGTCTTTCCTTCCCAAGTCCTCAATTCAGGAGCTTCCTAACCTTTAAACCTTGGCCTCCCTCTCTTTTCCACGGCAAGTTCACCTCTATCTGTCATTTTTGCCCTCGCTGTGGAGGACCCCCAACCCAGAACTCTAGCACTGCTACTGAGCTCAGGTCAAGAGTTCTGCTGGAATTTTTAAAAATTTTTCTAAATTAAAAAACAACTTTTCTAAGTTTTGTAAAAAGTTTCTACCATAGTGATAATTCTCAAAATAGGGCAAAGTCCTGTAGGTGGCACATCAGAATCTGGGATGGGATGAGGCTCTAGCTTGAAAAAGTGCCTTACACTCTTAATCTTATACCTTGAAGATGAAGAGTCAGTTTTACAGGACAAGTGACAAAAATTACAGGTTAACAAATTTTTCTTAGCTGGAATAGATGACCTATAAACTGTCTTTGAGGGGAAAGCAGAATACCGGTGCGGGGTGTGTAACACTCCTCTAAAGGAAAGGCACCTGTCTGCAAGGAGAGGGTAAAGGACAGAGCTGGAGTCACGGGGAGAAAAAAACACCCGCAGCCCAGGCTTCATTACAACAGCGGAAACGTCCTTCTTTAATGCTGACAGCTTCTTACACAGCAGCCACCATGCCTGCCTGTGGGGACACACCCCAGCCTTGCAGAGGCGGAACACAAGCAGCTATTTCAAAAAACAGCGCTCCACTATGACCTAGGTAAACAGAAGCTGCTCGGAGAGGAAGGACATCTAATCTGGGAAACTGGCAGGAAGGGGGAAGGCTTCTAAGGAGGAGGAACTAGTTGAGTCAAGTAACGAAAAGAACCCCCAGGTCCCACACGTGCAATCAGATGGTAATACGTGCAATGGTATAGTCCTAGGAAGAACATTCCAAAGGACAGAACAAGGGCAGGTATGTAATGTGCCTCACTCCCCATTTTCACTAGAAAGTTTGGGTTGTTCTTGTCCACGGTGATGATCAAGGGCTCTCCCTCTGCAGAACCACACGCCTGCCCACTTCTCCCTCAGGCAGGCTCTCAGCCCAAAGCCTAACAACTTCCACGGAACCCCGGTGTCCTTACCACCCCTAAGCTCCCTAAGAGCTCCACATATAAGCCACGCAATTTTACTTAAACATGAAACAGAAAGAATATAAGGACAGCTCGCTTTTTCTTAATACAAACTTAAGACGTATATATTTTGAAAAGACTTTGCAAAATCCCACTGTATGAAAATATCACAATTTCTCTCCCCACCAAAGGATATACCACTTCTAATTTCTCACTACTGTGAATAATGGACTATCACAAAATCGTACTTGTGAACAAACCTCATCACTCAGGATAAAGGCCAACAAGTGGGAACCATTTTCAGGTGCCTGCCATCCCCAGGGCCCTCCAGGGGTTAGAGAAACAGCCTTCACAACAGCAATGTGAGGGGCCCGTCCCACCTTCCTCCCAACAATCCTTTTTACCAGATTCACTGAGCTCGTCCACTTCTTTTATGAACTATCTATGCTTTACATCCCTCTGTCTGAATGCTCACCTGTTCCTTACTGACTCTATACTAAGGATATATATTTTATAATAGCATAGCCTATTTGCTTGTTTTATAGTGTTCTTCGATGTTAAGAAACCTACAATTTTTATACAGTCCATTCTTTATTTCCATTTCTTTTTTTTTTTTGGTGTTTTTTTTTTTTTTACTTTTATTTGCATTTATTTTTTGCAGCATTTATTCCTGGGCCATAAGTTTTTGTTTCTTCAGGTTCTTATAGTATATCTGTTTCTTCTGGGCAACCTCCCCTTCTGGTTTGGGAACAATCTATTCTTTTTCAGTAAGGATCATCTCAATGTGGCAGGGAGAGCTCACGTATGGGTTGATCCGACCATGAGCTCTCTAAGTCCTGCACAGCATCTTGTGGGCTTTGTTCACCTGGATGTGCTCAATGACCAGAGAATCTACATTGAAGCCCTTAAGTTCAGCATTACTCTCTGCATTTTTGAGCATGTGCAGTAAAAATTCAACACTCTTTTTGGGCCACCAACCCTGTGTCCAGCCCCACTGTTTGGCCTGGGCACACCTACCAACTCCATCACCGTAACGACAGAACGACACACGTTGCTTCTTTAAAGTGACATCCTTCAGATACTTGGTGGTTTTTCGGATATGCATATCCTTAATGGCCTGGGCAGTTTCACAAGTGTTCTTAAAGTGAACATGAAGATTTGAACCTCTTGACTTGCATGATTTTGTGGGGTTTTCTGGGTCAAGTGAATAGCGAACCATTTTTAGAGGTCACCTCAGGCCGCTTACTGGAAAAGCTACCATTACTTTTAATGTTTAGAAAGTCCTCCAATACTATTTAGGAATTTTTCATAAAACAAACAGCAGAGAGTAACATTTTTTTTTTTTTTTTTTTTTTTTTTTTG